CCTCCTAGACCTAGCCATACCTAGCCCCACCGCACTGGCATGCACATCATCCGTGTAATTGCTCTGCCTGCTGCAAGTCCACGCTGGAGATAGCTCTCGTTGGAATTGCCTCCCGTCCTTGCAAGGTATCTGCATTAGCATTAAGCAGGCAGTAGTCGCAGTAATCAAGTGTCAGTGGGCGCCATATTCGACTAAATACAGTACGTAGGTCATAACTTTTCCCGTGTGCAATAGCAATAGAAAAACTGAAGCTCCACCGACACAGAAATACACATAAATGTAAGGTTCCCTGTGCTTGCAGCCAAGCAGCGTATGACAAGTGCAGACTCCTGCACAGATTTAAGGTTTTCACGGCTTAATGCCCTGGGTTGAGGTTCGGGGTTGCAACCAGCTTGTAAGTCTTGAGGCTTTCGGGGGTGGGGAGCGAGCATTGCAAAATCCAAACCTAACTCTTGCTATCCTGTAATGATAGCAGAAAAGCCAACCCACCACCGCGTATCGGTCGACATATGTCTCGGTCCTCAGAGAAAATGTGGAACGCCAAGTCATCTGCGAAATGGCCAGCAGGTGGAGCTTGCAAAAGCGTCGAGATGTCTGCCTTGCCAAGATCGCTAGAGGTCTCTGAACAAATCCGTTCTCAAAAACTCTCCAGGCAGAATTGGGCACGGACGACATATTCGTTCAGGGAGTAGTCGATGATGCCCTCACGCAGGCTGCAGTCTGTGACAAGAGTGCACTGCAGGCAACAAAGGGCAAAAGATAGAGGCGCTTGCAGTTTTCAGGATCTTTCACCTCATAACTTTTCAATTAGGATTCTTGTTGGTTCTCTTCGGCGCCTGCACGCACTGGTTGAGACCAATCTCCCCACCTGTCCAGAAATGCAGCACGTATTCATGCCTCTTGCGTGTGCATGGCTCTGCGGATGGTCTTTGTAGGCTTCCCGCGTATATGTGCGCATGGGTCAAGCTTCTGCCATGCTGATGCATGTCCTCAATGGATGGGCCTGGAATTGTGAAGACCTGGTTGCTGGGAAACCACGTAGAGTAGTTCATGGCCTGGGCAAGGCCAACGTTTAAATAAAAACAGCGCGACAAGAGTATCCGAATTGCACTCCAACATTCCAAGCATTTCCGAGCCCCAGGCAGCGTTTTCCGAGGCAAGGATGATGCCCTCTTGGCTGGTGGTCGTGGATAGGTACTCAGGGCACATTGGCACAAGTTTTCAGGCTCACTTCTTAGACAAGTTCACAATGGCGGTCATACAACTGCTAAATCTTCGAATGGCATCTGCACGAGCATGGAATTGCAGGCCGGCTGTTGACCGACAGCATACTTGAGGCGGACACGTCAACCAATAACTAGCCGAGGCCGGAACCCAAACAACTTCGCTGGCAGCAGCTTCATCCACTTGCATGCCTGAGTGCGCTATCAGCTTTTGACCGAACTGTGTGTTCTTGCATTCGGGTGCAACTGGATATTTCTTGCTGCTGGAGGGAGCTTGCGGGCATGGACCACTAGAAATAATCCCAAAGAACCCTGCTAAGCATGTCTTACACACAACTGCTAAGCGTACCTTCATCGCTCCTGGCAGCCAGCATCGGAGGCATCACAGAAAAAGACCTTAGGTTTACTCTCCAAGCTTTGTGCAAGGTCGACGCCTGGACGGCGCATCCTTTTGGTTTGAGATGCCGAGTGACATGCGCTCTCCGGCAACTACGGGGACCCGAATCCATTGTTGATCTCCTTCAGCCAACGAGCCCCTGCGCTTGACCTCACCTGAGCAGACTCAAGAAGCATGGAGGCAAACCGAGAGCGAGAAAGGTTTCAAGTAGGGCAGTGTAGCCGAAGCGCCTGGCACATTGAAGCGCAGCCGCTGCGGGAAGCGTTCGCTGTATGGAGACATTTCCTGGAATGATAGACCCCATGGCACATTTGGTGATGGTCATAAACTACACAGCATCTGTGACAACATGTGACAGGTGACACAACTGATCACGTATGAAATGCCGCATCTGCGCAGCAAATACCGATTCTTCTTGGAAAAGCTTCATTGGCTTGCACGATAGCAAAGCCCTCGTCATCCAGGACCGCCTCAGTCAAGAACACACTCTGAAACTCTGACAGGCACATGCAGGCCCAGGCAAAAAACATGGCTCTGAAAGTTTTGTGCGGCATGGTTTCGGCAAGCACTAGCAAGTCTTGCTTGATGCTGCCAGAGCACCCAGCTGATGTTTGTGTCATTGCCTGCAAATCATTGAAGAAACAATACATGATGCGAGGCCGATACAGCTTGATGCTGAGAACTCATCGCAACAGAGACAGAGCTGCAGCCTCGCCTGGGGTGACGGTAAGCTCCCTTAGGAGGATGCAAGTAACTCCACCGCAATCAACACCCTGCGACCAGTGCAACACAAGAGACAAGAAGTCGCCAGATCCAGCGCCAGCGATGACATCCTCCTGTGCGCGGCACGGGACACAGCGCACGCATGCTCACAGCAGCATCTTGAACTGAACTCGGGGTGCTGGCCTTTGGTTAGCTGGGAATGGATGAATGGAAAAGAAAATGGGAACTACTATAATGGGTTAGATAGGGGCTACTATAATGATCCATTCCTTCATTCCTAGCTAACCGAAGCCCAGGGTGTTGCTCCGCAGTAGCTCTACTAGCTCTACCTTTCTCAGACCTTTGGCTCAGCGAAGCAGCCCTCCACATGATAGGGTTTAGGGTTTAGGGAGCTAATATAGTCTCCTTCTGTAGCATCCCCCTCAGAATGCCTATCATATTCCCTGCATAATCCCCATGCGTAGCTCCGCTTAAGGAGTTTAGACCCTAAACCCTACACCCTATGTTACATGACTCCCCATATGAGCCATAGTTAAAACTCCGAGTATCCCCCTTAATAATCCCTATAGTACTCCCCTATATAATCCCCTATATACCACCCCTTGAAAGAGTTCAGACTATAGATCATATTAAGCCTTAATCCCCATAAACTAACCCTTGATCCCAGTTTCCATTTAATTTTCCATGCTCTTTTCCATTTGATTCTCAACGATTGGGGTTTATACATAGCTCACATAACCCCCCTTAAGGAGTTTGGACTTCAGCTCACACCCCTAAACCCTAAACCTTAGAAGGTTTGGACCCTAAACCCTAAAGCCTAAACCCCTCACATCTCCTGAAAGGAGCCGCTGTCCAAGGTGCCCGTCCATGTCAGCTCAGGGCCTGGGAAGCAGGGCCCCAATGAAAGAAGGAAGCCTTGCACTTCCTGTAAACATGGGTTTAGGGTTTAGGGATAGTTTAGAGTCTAAACTCTAAACTCCTTAAGGTGGGCTATATAGGGCAGTATTGTAGGGGTTATTAAGGGGAATACTAGGAGTTTAGACTATAGCTCATACAGGGGTTATATAGGGGTTCTATTGGGAGTTTATAGGGGGTATGTTAGGATCCTGTTTGCATCTGTTCGCACTTTAGAAAAAAGACACCTTGTACGTGAGAAACTCCCATATCTCCACCTTTGCCAAGTCTCGGCGTGGATCATCGCGCCTCAGGCTGTATGAAGCCCCACTCCAACTGGAGCCATGGGTCGTCATGAGGAAGCTCATGTTCACAAAGGTTCCTCGCAAGCTTAACTTTGCTGTTGCCTGTCTCATGTGTCATGCTTGGACTGTATGTTCGCCATGGTTCGGGAGAAGTTGCGAAGGACATATCTCGCACCATTCCAGCCATTGCCAGCCCTGTCCAGCAGGCCAATATACCTGAGTCCGGACATTGTTCGATAACTCCCCCAAGCACGCACGAGTCTGAAACTACGTAGCTGCCACTCACTAACTAGTGGAGTACAAAGAATGCTCTTGCGGGTTAGACTTAGTTCGGGTCATTTGAGCAGCCCATCACAACTCATCAAGCTGGGCACAGGATTCTTTGATTTGGGTCCATGGTCATTGTCGTGGATGTCGTGGTGGAGGTCCGGCTGTAGGTTGTTGTCAAGGTCGTTGTGAACGTTGTCGTGTTGGTCATGGTCGTGGTGGAGGTCGACCTCGTAGCTGAGCTCAGAGCAAGTTGAAACTCTTAAGCCGCCAGGTCACCTTGATGAATAAATACTCAGCTCCATTATCCCTAACCCCTATATATACCTCAGTACAATAGTTTCCATCTCATTTTCCATTATCCCCATGTAGCCCCAACATACTCAGGCTCAGATCATCAGTGTAAAGTCCCAGGCCAGGGTGCGTTATCTGATACTTTCTTAGGGCCTTTGCGCTACCTGCTGTGGGCTTCTGATGCTACCTTATGCTGGGTACATCCTACTCCCTACTGCAGACACGGCTGCAGCCCGAGTAAGTGCCAAAACCTACAGCCCCCTTGAGTAGATAGAATATGGCCTTGGGTACATTATAATAACATCCCCATATACCCCATATTCTATCTACTTAGGGGGACTATAAGCCCTAAACCCTAAACCCTAAACCCCACACCCTCCCATATTATATCTACTCAAGGGGGACTACAGCCAGCAGAGCTGATTTGAGCTGCCAACGTGTTGGTCTCTGTTGTCGTCCTTGGTGCAACAAATACTCAGTCCCATTTTCCTATATGGGAGCTTCCCAAAATTAGAGGTACCTTTTTGAGGGTCCCAATAATGAGGATTCTAGTATTTTGGGGTCTATATTGGGGTTCCCTTATTTTGGGAAACTACCATATGACCCCAATATAACCCAACTTAATCCCAGTTTCCATTTAATGTTCCATGTTCTTTTCCATTTGGTTCTCCATTATTGGGGTTGATCCCTATATAACCCCCATTCTATAACCTCTTTATTGTAATTTCCATTCTATTTTCCATTGTCCCCATATAACCCCTATATAGCAACTGTGGTTGAAGTACTGGATCCTGTGACTATAGACTGGTATTAAAACAGCTGTAGGCAGCCACATTCAAATGAAAACCCGGCCACTGACAGGAAACTGCGCATTGACATCAGGTCACGCCAAGCGGCGCCGTTGAACTTGTTGATGTGGTTCTGCCCAGCGCATCATCGTACAACGCACTGATGTGGCCAGCAGTCAACGCCACACCATCCCACACCCGAAGGAAGGCCATCGTCCCATGGAAGTAGGTGCTGTCGTAACTTTTGCCAAGCATATGATCCACGCGTTGGATGGGATATGGCTCCAGTCCTGCTGAGTTGTGACCTCGCAACTCCCCGTCTCTGTAGAGCTTCATGTCCTGGCCCGATTAATCCCGCTTAAGGCGGAGATGGCAGAGGTAACATGGAGATCGCATGTCAAGGGATTGGGTAGGGATGTTAGCAGGGTTCAAAATGCTTGGCCAGTTTATAGTTCTGATCAGGAATTCAAGAATATTCAAAACTTAGACTTACACAAGTGAGGTCCTGGCCGTCCATGGTTACAACCACATGGGTCCACTGCCCAAGTGCCCAAAAGTCACCGTCGGTTACCTGCTGGGAGCCATCGCTGTCCTGACGCCCAACCTCGAAGATACCCAATGCGCCTTGTGAGTCACGGCGCAAGTACACCTGATTGACTAAACCGCCGCTGTTGAAGTCGAACACCGGCTGCGCAGCGAGCCATGTGGCGTTTTCGTCAAAGGCACAGAAGATCTCAATTGTCGTGGGACCACCGAATTCCCAGGGGTCGATGTATGCCCACTGGTCAATACCGTCAAAGTACAGCCCAGTTGGGGTCAGCGTGGCTCCCTGCAGGTGCACTGCTAGAGGACTCTGAGAAGTACCATCCTCCTGGAGACTTCTGGAGTAGCCATCCCCCAGCAAGCCCAAATCCTCCTCTAGGCGCCTAGCAAGAATTCGAAAGTCCCAGGAGTGACTCCAGGAAGGCCAAGACTTGATTTCTGCCGCCACGCTAGCGCGATAGAAAACAGAAGCCCAGTCTGTGGTTGATGTTGTGGTCGTTACCGTCGTGGTGGAGGATGCAGTGCTTGTAATTGAGGATGTGGTGGTGGTGGTTGGCAATTCATCGAACAACGCACGTACTTGGCCGGCAGTCAAGGCTACGCTGTTCCAGACGCGCAGGTAGCCCATTGTTCCATGAAAAAAGGTGCCGTCGTGACTTTTGCCAAGCATGTGATTCACGCGTTGGATCGGATATGGCTCCAGTCCTGCTGAGTTGTGACCTCGCAGCTCACCGTCCCTGTAGAGCTTCATATCCTGGCCCACAGGTTACATGAAGAGCGCATGCAAAGGGATTGAGCAGGGATGTTAGCAGGGCTTCTGAACAGGAATTCAAGACTTCGACAGGTGAGGTCCTGGCCATCCATGGTTACAACCACGTGGGTCCACCGGCCAAGTGTCCAAAAGTCACCATCGGACACTTCCTGCGCTCCTGAAACGTCCTGACGCTCAACCTGGAAGATACCCAATGCACCTTGTGAGTTGCGGTGTAGATACACATGATTGACTGTACCACCACTGTTAAAGTCGAACACGGGCTGCGTAGCGAGCCATGTGGCAGCCGCGTCAAAAGCACAGAAGATCTCAATTGTCGTCGGACCACCGAATTCCCAGGGGTCGATGTATGCCCACTGGTCAATACCGTCGAAGTACAGTCCAGCATCGGTCATCGTGGCTCCTTGAAGGGTCACCACGTATGCGGAGGACGAGACAATCTGCGAGCCGCGGAAATCCCACGAGAGATCCCAGGCAGGGTATAACGCTGTAGTTGTCGTCGTTGTGGTTCTCAATGTCGTGTTCGTCGCTGTGGTTGTCCTGCCATAGCGGCACACATGGCAACAAAAACAACACAGCAACACCTGAGAGTAGCTCTCTGACACACCCTGCACTCTCCGGGATCCATTGTCTCTCTGTGCAACCTTTGCCGGGCAGACGTAGTCACTTGTATCTCCTGCGCAGGCACCATGACCCAAGGAAGCAAAGGCTGAGCAGAAGAAACAGCAAGCATTCCTAATTTGCTGACACCCTGTCCTGCGGGCACTTGCGGTAGAAGCTTCGGTAGTCGGAGGAGGATCCCAAGTAAAGGTCTGACCCGACAAGCCCGAAGCTGCTAAAGCCTGGGCTCAAGACATCACAGAGCAGGCCACTCCACCGAGCGTGGCTTCCCAGCAAGCTGAGGGGACTAGGAAGCACCCGAAAGCGTTTTAGCATATTCTGATAGGGGAGTCATATGACCCCCTTTAAGGACTTTATAACGTAGCTCACATTGTAATGAAGTAAGATGCTCAAGGTAATTTCTTCCCAGAGTTCCTGACAGCTTGCCAGGAGGCCATAGGCGCTGGAGAACGTGAGGCTCACATCCACGACGGAGAACTTGTCCGGCCAGGCAAACTGCACGATCTTGGGAGAGGAGTCCTTATCACACAGATTAGACCTAGCTTGCCTCAAGTTCGCATTAATAAACACATGACTATTACTCTTATTACTGTCATTGCTCTTATTATTGTTTTTACCTTGTTACTCTTATTACTTTTATGACTCTTATTACTCTCATTACTCTTGTTACTTTCATTACTCTTATTATTAGTCTTGTCAATCTTATTGTTATTACTACTATTATTGTTATTATTATTAGTAGTAGTAGTAGTCGTAGTAGTAGTAGTAGTAGTAGTAGTAGTGCAATTATTACTTGAACAAACTTCAGCTTCTTGGCTTCTGCCTTGCGCTGAGGTGCAGAAGCCAGGTATGCATAGCCTCCATCGTATGCCCCATACGCGAAGCCACTGATACTCACAGGGGCACGAAGGTAACTAGCAAGATTCACACACAGCTGCTCAGACACCTGTCCTGTATTCACTGAAATCCTTCTCAGCCACAAAGGCCATGCTCGCCAGGGTATACAGGACCACTTTTGGAGTGGAGCCGCAAACGGCATAGCCTCCCCACATTCCCGATTCTATCAACACGCGCATTCTTGCTGTCCACTGACATGTCTGAGCCCCTGGCCATACTGGGCATCTGTAAATGTGGCTACAAATCCAGAGTAGTCGGGCGCCGTTTGCTCCAAGTCGAGGACGCTGTCCTATCAAAGGATCCCCATACTCTCGCACAACTCTGTTGATTCAGTTGGCAACGCATTCACATGCAGCTGAGGTCAGAAACAGGATCTCACAGACGCTGAACTCTGCACAAGCTTCGCTGCAGCCGTGCGGCCACAGCCATTGTTTCAAGATTGATCTTCACGATCTTGCCCGCGTTCTCATACAATCCGGTCTGATAAGTCGCCAAGAACCCGAAGCCGGCTTCCTTTAGATATCATAAACGGGAGCAGTTGCGAGCAGTTGCATCAACTGCCATTGCGAGCTGGCAAGTAGTACTCCTACTTTCTTCCCTCACTGCGGATACAAGCGTCGGCAAATCCAGGTCGCAGATTTACGAGGCTGGCATCAATGAGATCAAGGGCCAGAAACCGGACACCAGCCCCAGCGGTCTCATTGTCATAGGCCTCACTGGTGTCAACGCTGACAAAGCGTCCCGTCTCCTCGTCCACTGCAGTGATCATTCAAAAGACCACTCTCAGAAACACAGAACATGTTGCCGCAGACAGTGGCAGTGTCAACCAGCACAGCCATTGTCACCACCTCCTCCTCGCCACCAACGCCGCCGCCACCGCCACCGCTACCAAAGCATGATTCTCAGCATGGCATTTTCTGAACCATGGCAAATGAAACACTTGGTGACCAAGTCTTGGTCCATCATCGTTGTCCCTGAGCCCCTGCGAGTGCCAACCTTGACGACAATCACCAATGTAATACCAACGCACCACTAGCACCTTCAAAGCCACATTCACTCCCACCGTTACAACCACGATCACCACCAGTTCTGGACTGAAAAACTACCGTTCACGTCATAGTCCTGCGGCACCAGATAGAGGTTGGTGCCATCCAGAAAAGCTCCAGAAAAGCTTTTGAGGTTCGAATCGACCTCCACAAGATCACACAGCGTAGCTTCAAAATATTGGGGGAACCCAAAGGGTCGAGCGAAAATGTGGACGTTCCCCACGCGGACTTCAAGTTTGAAAGCCCCTCACGACAGCAGCACCGCGAATCTAAAACTCTGCGCCTGGGCGAGGTCTACCACAGCTGGGGCGGGAAGCGACATGGTGGCCTCGGTCATGGGGGGCTCAGGGCTGAGTTATATAGGGGTTAAAATGGCATAGAGGGATAATGGAAAAGAAAATGCAACTACTTTAGGGTTTTATAGGGGTGGTCTTGATGGACTGGAAGTTCCCAATTTCGCGAGCAAGACTATTGCTGAGGCACCAAGGACTGCAGAGTCCGGTCAGGCCGCGTTGCGTTTTCGTGTAGTCTGAAGTAGCTTTGGCTGCGAATCTACTAGCATTGCAAAGGGAGTCGTGCCCTTGCCTGACTTGAAGTCAAACAAGGTTGCACGCTCGGGTAGCAATTTGACCATTTCGGCGTTGCCATCTCGAATTGCAATAACAAAAACCGGCTTCATTCAATTTATCTCTGCAGTTCATCCCCAGCCCGCGATTCAGTAGGAAATTTGCCATTGCTGCCAATGCAGTATACTAGCTCTCCCTGTATATAGTAACCCTATATGATCACCGGTCCTACAGTAATACATTCTATATTCTATTCCTTCATCCCCTACTCACCACCAGTAAGTCTTGGGCTGCGCCAAACCTGCCAGCAGGGAAGAGGCAGAGCCGAATGCAGTAAAGCAGCCAAATCGAAGCGAACCAGAGTCGAGCTGGAGAATGCAGGAATCATGTATCCTCGGTCACCAATGAATAGGAAAACATGTCTTTCACCATAAAACGATTGGAAGAAAACATTATCCCCGATGTTTTGGTATGAAATCCTCAGTCGTTCTCACCAGAAGAAGCTGAACCTGAAGGATTTTGATGACCATGAACTGTTTTCATCTTGAACATGATACAAATACTTCCCTAAACCCTAGATCCTAAACCATGAATCCTTTTGGGTCATGGCCATTCGACCACCACGCAGCACTTCAAGATGAGTGCCAGGCCGCAGTCCTATTCTAATATAGCAATTTCCATGTTCTTTTCCATCATCCCTATAGAAGCCCTATATACCCCCCTAAATAACCCAACAACCCTGTATAACCCGAGGTCTCAAAATTCCTGATTGCTACAGCTTATGAATTTGAAGCGATAATGCTCTGAGGAACATGCGTCAACCATCAGGATCCACAGGACACATGCTCACTTGACCTGCTATAAATGGGCTGGGCAGTGGCATCCAGGAATGTCTCATGAACATTAGAGCCTCCAAACCTCTGGTTGAAAATCGCTGCGCTTCTGATGAACAATAGAATCTCAACTGTAAACCCTAAGCTTAGATAGTAGTTTCCCACACGTAGCGGGACCTTCTCGGGGGTCCCCTTACTAAGGAGTATAGTATTGGGGTCTAAAGTGGGATCCCTTTATGAATGGAAACTACCAAGTCTAACAAGACCTAGCGGCCGAAAGCGCCATCGGCCAGGCCGGCCACGAACACGGTGCTGTCCAAGCCAACTTAGCCAGCAGCAAACACTCTTCGAACTGAGGGCTGACTTGGGATTCTCTTTTCTTGTTTAGGGTTTAGGGTTTAGGGTTTAGGGTTTGTCAATATGCAACTCATGAGTGTTCAAAGCACTGCGAAATTAAGAATGAAATCCAAGAGGGCAAATAGTGCATTAGAAAAAGAACTATGTACAACAGTATGAAACGTAACTATGATCCGAACAATCCGCCTTCAAGGCGATCCTCTGGTAAATGCGCAAAATAAAATGCAGCGTGATACAACTTGAAAAATCATGGTTGAGACACGTGTACCAAAGTCCACCTTCTCCGAAATCTGGAACGTGGCCAAATCCATACGATGGACCTGTAGCATTCTTGGCTTCAGAGGCTTGTGGGGAATAGGTTCAGCGTTCCGGGTTTTGCGGCTGTTTCATGTATCAGCTTCGGGGTGACAATACAGCAGTGCAGAATTTGTGGCTTAACGGCATTAGGTTGAGAGTTCCAAAGAATGGTCAGCTCGGCAGCGGGCAAAACAATGATAACACAATTGATACTTTCCGCAACTAAGCCCCGCAAGTCTTCAACAATCTGATAGGAGCATGCACTTTGCTGGCCACATCAGATGCAGTCAAACGCACAAAAAAGAAAGTGATGGTGCCTGATATTTGTGTTGTGTAGGCGCAAGCCTTCATTGCATACATCACTGGAGAAGGTGTAGACAGACCCTGACGTATGACTTGTAAAAAAGCAGAAAAATATCCCTACAACTGAGTATCATTTTTGTGGTGGCTGAACCCCGTAAGATTATATTCATACATTGCTATGCTATACCCCGAGAAAGCTATGATCTTACTCTATACTGGTGTCTATAGTCTCCCCAAATAAAATACTTCTCAACCGTCCCCACAGGGCCCACAGCAGCGCCTCTGGAAAGGACATGGGCACCGTGTACAGGTAAATGCCATCGCTGAAAACCTGGTTCTCTGACAATGGCAACTCTCAGAATGCGGTTCAGGGTTTAGTGCTTAGGGTATTGGACCAGGAGTTCAAACATACTGGAAACTGCACAAGAAGATAACGTGTACCAACAACGAACCCTTGTTCCTCAATGCTATACTTCTGCATTCGTTTCAATCATGACAAGAACGACGACGACGACGACGACGACGACGACGACGACGACCACCACCACCACCACCACCACCACCACCACCACCACCAGCAAGATGCAAACTGACTTCTCAATCTGTTATGTACCTCGTTA